GGAGGGAAATAAATCAATGTGTGAGAGAAACATCTGCCAGTTGCCTTTTGTATGCGCCCAGACCAGGAATCAAACCCGCCACCTTTCAGTGTATGGGACAACACTCCAACCAATTGAGCCACACCGGCCAGAGCAGAAAGTATATTTTTTCATTCTGAAGTTTTTATAGGTAAAATAGTGCGATCTCAGGTGTTTGTTTTTAAATCTTTAAATAAATAACACCTGGAAATTTAGAGAAAGTAGTTTTAACAAAATGTTGATAAATGAAGCTCAGTGATGGGTATGTGGGATTCATTATACTTTTGTGTGTATTTGAAAATTTCTGTAATAAAAATTGTTTTTTTAAAAGTGCCTCTTTTAGGAAATTCCTTCTTGACAACTAAGAATATTTAACATTACCATTTATTCTAAAAATTTCACAGGCCTCCAACACTTGCTTCTGCCTTCCAGGAGCCCCACGTGATACTAAGTTCTTGTGTCACTTCCCACTGCCCAGTACTCATACATTCAAAATTTAAAGGTTTTATATACCATATTGTAGGGGGGGGACAGGGGCATAGTCTGCATTTCTTCTCTGTTTATATGTGAATTACAGAGCAGCCAGAAGCAAAAAGAGAGAGGACAGTGCTTCCTGTCTTTTTTTTCTTTTTTTTGAGATGTTTTAGTGCTGTTTCACTTTGGAAAAATATGTCTCCAGGTTCTTTAGTAGACACATAGAAATTAGTAGGGCAGAGTCCAATGTAGTTCCTGCCAATTCAGTTTGAACTCTCCACAGGGTTAACCATCTTCTTTCATGTTATCAATAACGTGTATATTATTGATACAGAATATAATATAAGTCATCCTTCAATTCCATTATCCTAGCATAGGTCTAATCTCTTTTTAGTTTAATGCTACCTGGTTCTTTAATAGCATTTACAAAGAAATGCCGACTACTTTATGAAATCCTAGCTAATGGAAAACTTTACATGAAATTTTAAGTCCTTAGAGTAGAAAAGGACCATTAAGATCTTCTCTTTAATCTTCTAACACATAAATCTGTTCTGTGTATCTTTGCCAAGTGGCCATTCAGCCTTTGCTTAGAGTTTTAATAATGCAAAACTCTCATTACCTCATGAAGCAGGCCTTTCATTGCTTAGAAAATTCTAATTGTTAGAAAGTTATTCCTTACATTGAGCCAAACTCTGCCTTCCTGTAATTTTCAGTGGTAGTTCCTAGTCCTGCTCTCTGGGATTACAAAAAAATAACTGCTCTTGTCCATTTACATAATGTATTTTAAGGACCTCTTCATGTAAAATATCTCAAATTAAGATTTTTTTAATGATTACAAAGTATAATTTATTCTATCTTGGATAATTAGGTTGTGTCTATTTTCATTAGTAATGCTGCAGTGAACATTTGGTCAATAAATGTTTATATACAACTCTTATTTCTATAGGACGAATGCCTGAAAGTGGAATTGTTGAGTAAAGTGCATAAACATTTTAAAACTTTTATACGTTACCAGATTGTCCTGACCCCTCCCCCCAATTGTATTAATTTTTATTGTCACCAATTTGATAGGTAAATTTTAACATTTTTTTGTTGTTAATCATCACCTGAGGATATTTTTTCTATTGATTTTTAGGGGCGGGGGGCGAGAGGAGAGAGATAGAGAAATATCAGTGTGAGAGAGAGACATCGATTGGTTGTGTCCTGCACATGCCCTGACTAGGGCTAGGGATTGAACCTCCAACTGAGGTATGTGCCCTTGGCTGAATCGAACCTGAGACCTTTCAGTCCAAGGGCCACTGCTGTAACCACTGAGCAAACTGTCTAGGGCAAGGTCTAACATTTTGTTTTAATAATTAGTGAGCTTAAACACTTACGCTTATTGGCAATTTGTATTCAATCATAATTTTTAAAAATCATAATATTCACACTGTATTCCAATTTCCCTAGTTTTTCCAGAAATGTCTCTTGTAAATTATTAAAACAGGATCTAATCAAGGTTTAACTGTTGTCCAGAACCATGTGCACTGCAATATACTGGGCCAGCTTGCCGGTTGCCTTGCCCAGCTTCTAGGTGATCTCAGAGAGGAACCCTTCTGGCACCAAGGCGCAGGGCACGTTGGTGTTCACCATGAACATTGGTGAGGACTGGGACACAGGAACCAACGTCTCATGCCTCTCTCCTTAGTCTCTCTTAATCCAGGTCACTTGTTTTGTAGATTGTCCCACATTTTGAATTGTGTTTGTTTCCCCTTTTTTTTGGTGTCATTTAACATGTTCCTCCTGTATTTACTGTAAACTGGAAGTTGGGTCTAGAAGCAGCACTGGATTCAGATTAAGCATTTTTGGCTGGAGTAATTCACAGGTACTGTTGTGTATTTCTCCTGAATCAAATTAGGGGGTACCACCTAATGACAGGTTGTTCCACTAATAGTGATGCTAAGTTGGATCACTTTTGTTAGAGCGTTAATTTCCACATTTCTCCATTGTAAGGTACATTATTCCCTTTGTAATTAGTAAATCATTTGTGGACTGGTGCTTTGGTACCATTCAAATATACTGTTTCACAATTGTTCACCTAATGGTTTGAGCATTCATTGATGATCCTGCCAGTATTGAATCAGCTACTACACAGAGAGTTGGAGAGAAGATGTTCATTTTCTAAATATATTACTTTTTCTATAATTACTAGCTAGCATTCTGTATAGATTTTTTTTTAAAATATATTTTTATTGATTTCAGAGAGAGGAAAGGAGAGGGAGAGAGAGAGATAGAAACATCAATGATGAGAGAGTTACTGATGGAGCATGCAACCCGGGCATGTGCCCTGACTGGGAATCGAACCCCGATCGCCTGGATCCCAGGTCGATGCTCAACCGCTGAGCCACGCCCGGCCGGGCATAGATTTTTTTTAGTATCATTTTTACCTCATGGATTTTCTTTTCCCCCCTGAAAAGGTTTTATTACTCACAGAACGGATGGCTGTTGCCTTCCTCATAGCTATAAGGACATTGCTGAGCTCTTCTCTCTTCCTCTTGGCATGGTTGTATGTCCCTACCCTTTTCTTGATGAACTTCAGGGTCTGCTTGTCCTTGGAGAACTTGAGCAGCTTTATGGTGGGTTGTTAGTAAGGGGCAAAGCCACACAGCTCTCAGATCATATCCCGCATGAACTTGGTGTGCTTTGCAAGGTGCCCATGGTGGCAGCTGTGCCTCAGCTTGTTCACGTTCTTGGTTACCTTGTGGTATTGTTGGAATTCGGGCTTTGTCACTAGATGTGTAACCTTGGACAAATTGCTTCTCTGTGCCTTAGTTTCTTCATCTGTAAAATAGGGAAAATACCACATATAATTGTTATAAGGAATAAATGAGTTAATATATATAAAACAAGTAAGAGAGTGCCTGATACATGGTAAGTGCTATATGTAAGTTGCTGCTGCTAGATTATGATGCCTGGCATTTGAATACTTGAAGCCTCCTTGGGCCTCATTGAACAGTCTTTCCTCTTTTAGTTTAAAGTGAACAGGTTTCTTGGTAGGAGGTTTATATTATATTTTTAGTTTCCATCATCAAGGCAATTTTATAGAATCTAGGTGGTAAGAGATGAGTTGAAGGACATGGTCTATAGATAGTCTTGCTTCATTTTGAGGTTGGACACCAAAATTGCATATTTCACCAGCCCTCCTTTGGTGATGCTTTGGCAGGAAAATTGTAGTTTGAAATTCTTACAAAGCTGATTTCCCCCGCACTATAACATCCTTTTGTGGGGGCTAGCGGGAATGGGATGCTAGTGATGTGAAAGTAGGTTATAGGAAAGGGGCAATTTGAATCAAGACCTTAGATTTTTAGCTGAACAAATCTAGTAGGCAAGGGATTTTCTAATTAAAAGTTATCTTAAAGGGGGAATTCATTCCTGATTTATATTTTCTTATCAAGAAGTGAGATTAATGTTTTCTTTCTAGATTAGTGAGACTGAACATTTTTTCATTATGTTTATTGATCACTTATATTTTGTGAATTGCCTATTCATGTTCTTCACCTATTTTGTTTTATGAGGAGATTTATCTTTGTAGAAAAAGGACATTAAGCCTTTGCCAAATGTATTTCAGATATATTTTCATTTTGTCAATTGCCTTCTTTTACCCTTGGTTGTGCTTTTTTATTTTAACTGCACAGGAACTTAATGTAGTGAATCTATAAATTTTTCCTGAAAAGTATTATCTTGTTATGATTAGAGAGAGCATTTCTGCTGAGTGTTGCTGAGTGTCATAGTTTATATGTAGACTGACCCATTTAATAAGCCCTTTTCTTACAAATAGGTGATTGATTGTCATAGGATTTGAAGATTGATTGCAAACTAACATAGGCCTGAGGCTGTACCACCATAATAATAGCTACTACTTACTGCACACGGGCTGTGTGCCAGGCAGTGTGCTAGGTCTTTTATGTACTATGTTACTAATACAACTTCAAGCTAAATATTATTGTCCACAGTTCCTTAATGAGTAAAATGGGGCTAGAATAAATGAAGTTATTTGCCCAGGGTCAAAGAGCTAGTTAGTGACTGAATTGGAATTTTCTTTTTTTTTTTAAATATATCTTTATTGATTTCAGAGAGAGGAAGGGAGAGGGAGAGAGAGAGATAGAAACATCAATGATGAAAGAGTCATTGATCGGCTGCCTCCTACACGCCCCTGACTGGGAATCGAGCCCTCAACCCGGGCATGTGCCCTGACCGGGAATTGAACCCCGATCGCCTGGATCTTAGGATGACGTTCAACCGCTGAGCCACACCCGGCCGGGCTGGAATTTTCTTAAAAAAAAGTTAAGTAAATATTTTTACCAGAACTTGAAAAGATGGTCTGTAGCCTGCTTAGAGTGCTCTTGGTTCCTGAAAACACAGTAGATAAGATAATGAGAAGTGTGTAAACTAACTGAAAGAAAGATCTCCACTGTTTAGGGCAGTGGTGGGTTTTTTCCCCCCAACCAAACTTTTCTTTTTAAAAAAAAAGTTTTTTATTTTGTTATTGATTTTAGGGAGAGGAAGGGAGAGGGATAGAGAGATAGAAGCATCAATAAGAGATGAGTTCATGAGTCGATACTCAACCATTGAGCCCCACTGGCTGGGCTAGGGTAGTGGCTTTCAAAGTGTGATTCCCAGACCAGCAGCAGCATCACTTGGGCATTTGTGAGAAATGCAAAATCTCAGGTCCCACTCAGACCTACAGAATCAGAAACTGGGGTTGGGGCCCAGCAATCTGTTTTATAATACCTCTAGCTGATCATGATGCATGTTAAAATTTGAGAGCCACTGGTCTAGGGAAATTATTTTGTTCTCTCTAACCATAATTTCTGCTTTTGTGAGCTTCAGCCTAAGTCTCAACCCTTAAGTGCAAAATTTGCGTCATCGGGTAGTGGCAAAAGCTGGACTCAAAGCAGGTAGTTTTGAATCCAGTTTAAAAGCATTTAAGGCAAGTCTACCTCCCTGAGCCATAGTTTTCCATCTGTAAAGTGATGTTAATAACACCTGTCTCCATGTAAGATATTTTTTAGAATTAAGGTAATGTGTAAAGTGCTTACTAGCACCTTGCCAGACACCCAAGTGTTTGAGAAATTGCTTCCAGCAATTTTTCTTGTTAAGCAAAAGGCTCCCACCTGCCTTCTATTCTCAATTTCTCTTGTTTATTGAATGTATTTTATTGTCTTGTGTCTCTAGGCCTTTGTATTAGTAATTTCTCTTGGACACCCCCACCTCCCACCCCTCTTTATCTCTCACCAACTTCTTACATCTTTAGATTCCTGCTTATAGTTTATTTCCCTTGGAGGGGGCCTTCTCTAACCCCCAGTCCACAGTCTCTGTGTGTCACTACACATATCACACATTTTGGAATCAGGGCAAGTACAGTGTCTTATAAACCACTATATTCTAGGGGACAGTAAAGTTCCTCACACATTGTAGGAGCTAATAAATGTTGAATGAATGAATGGTAGCTGTCTTACTATTTCTTCATCACCATCATCCAAGAGTAAGCTCCCCTCTCTGCCTTGTAGTTTTTGTGCTGACTGCTTGTGATGATCGTAAATAGATAGTATTAGGACCAGTGCCTGTTTTCCATCTCTGAAAGCTTTGACATAGGCTGACATGGTAGTTCACTGAGCCGCTTCCTAACCACTGATCTCTCTATTGCAGGTGCCTTGGTGGAACTGTGTTCTTTGGTGGATCAAGTTCATCATATGCATAACCATTCACATCCTTCAGACCTCACCATTCGGTGAGTGGGTGATTAAAAGGAGGAGGAAGAGGGTAGAATTTGGCTATAAGAGGAATGTGGTGGGGAGTTGAGATTATAATTGTTGTTTAAAACCAGAGGTGCAAAAAGAAGGAATGCAGGATAATGGAATAAGAACTAGACTGACATTCAGGAAACCTGGGTTCTGAATGAATGAATGGTAGCTGTCTTATTGTTTCTAAAGCTGTCTTGCAGTTTTTCATTAGCTATATGATTTTCATCTAATCACTTTACTCCTCTGGTCCTTGCATCAGTAAAATTAAGATGTTAGACTAATTGATGTCAAAGGACCTATTTTAAAAAAGTTTATATTGATTTTAGAGAGAGAGGAAGGCAGAGAGAGAAACATTAATCAGCTGCCTCCTGCATGCCCCCTACTGGGGACTGAGTCCTCAACCCCGGCAGGTACTCTGACCGGAAATCGAACTGGTGACCTCTTGGTGCATGGGATGACGCTCAGCCAATTGAGCCACACTGACCAGGGTTCAAAGGGCCTTTCTAATTCTGAAATCTCCTGGATTCTTGATACAGTATGATTTTATAGATTTATTCAGTTACTTTGATCCAGTTACCCAGAAACCTTGGAGTCATCTTTGACTCCTTTCTCTCTTACCATGTATTCAGTCCATTAGCAAATTCTATAAGCTCTGCATATAAAATATATTCAAAACCTGATCATTTTGCATCATTTTCACCTGGATTATTGCAAATCTAAATGCTTCTGCCCTTGCCTGTCTACTGTTCTCAGCTCAGCAGCCAAAGAGATTCTTTCAAAGCATTAGTCATAAGTGAGATTCTCTTTGCTCAGAATTTTCCAGTGGCTTTTCATCTCACATTTCCCCATCTTCACCATCCCCTACATCTATAAAAATTGTGGCCTAGACTGCCATAGTTAGCTCACCAACCTCATCTCCTACTACTCTGTGCTTTGTTCACTCTGTTCTAGTCACACTGACTTCCTTGCTATTTTTCAGGTATGTCAGACACTCTCTTACCTCAGCCTTTACACTCATTGTTTCCTCTGTAGTTATCAGAAAGATAGTATAGTGTAATGGTTATTAGGTAAATTTTGAGTCAGGTGTCAATTCAAATCCAAGCTCTTCTATTTACTGTATGTCCTTGAGCAAGTTAGTTAACCTGAGGATCCGTTTCCTTACATGTACAAGTTGTTAAGGAGAGTGCTTTTCTCATAGGATTGTCATTAGCATAAAATGAGATGAGGTGTTTAAAGAATTCAGCAAGTGCTTGCATATACGACTAGGTAATGTCAGGTAACATTACAATTATTTTAACCTGGCTGTTCCTTGTAATCACCTGTGGAGATGTCTAAAAATACAGATGTCCAGGCTCTTACTACAGGGATTCTAAATCATTAAGTCTAGGGGTGAGGGAGAGGCCAAGAATCTATATCTTTAAAAAGTTTCCCAGGTGAGTTACTAGGAACAGCTGGAGCTGAGAATGGGCTCAAATTATTTCAGTGGGTCCTGTTCAGATCCCCAGCCTAGGACATGATTAAAGGAAACTCTCAAGAAACTCTTTAAGTCTGTGCTATTAATTGTTCAGTCTCTAAACTTGCAGTGTGATACTCACATGATGACTTACCTTCTCTGGGAATTTTATTCTAATTTTAACTGCTGTGTCCTGAGCAACCTTGAGCTGTGTCAGACAATGAAATCCTGTTGGAAGTACAGCTCTAATGCAAGCAATGAAATGTAGATCTTGTTCTAAATGTTTCTAGAGGGAGGAAATATTTTTTCCTACTTTAAGCATTAGTATACATTGTACATTAGGTTTTCTTGGGACATTTGTTATCACCATAATACCTGCCTGGGAATCAGGTGGTTTTGGAATTTGGAAGGAAATAGCAACTATAATGTGACTTTCATATAAATTTCTAAAATCGCGAGAATGGAAATGTAAATTTAATATTTGATTTCTTAAAATAGTTGTATACAAATACCAGCTGAAACCTTCATCTTTTCTGTTTTCACTTTCCCTCTCTCCTAATAGAAACTATGCCCGGTTCCGACAGAAACCTTTGGAAAGATACAGTCTGACTCAGTGGGTTGACAGGAACAAGCGAAGCCACCAACGGTTCCAGAGTCTCTAAGATACCGAGTACAGTTCATGAGTCTCATCCCATTAGCAGTGAAGGTCCCTGTCCAGGGTCCTGTCCAGAGCAGCACCTCATCTGCTGTTTTGTCCTTGGCAGATTTTGAATTTTATTTTTCACAAGATTTTTATTTAAAGAAGTTTTCACCTTTTGGAAATGCCCATTGCTGACTTGAAATTTTTTTGTATAAAATCCTTCGTGGGTGTGTGTGTGTGTATGTGTGTTTAAGCAGTGTTAACTTGGTATAGTTTTTATTTGTTTCTTTAAATTGAAGGCGGCCGCCTCCTGAAAGCCAATATTAAGCCAAAACACCCAGGCTCAATCAAAACACCCACCTTTATGCAGAAGTGAAGTCTACTGGTGCCCAAAAGAAATAAGCTTTTAATCTCCTGTAAGGAAAAGATTCTTTTATCAGGCTGCACGCCAGTATTAATTATTGCTCTTGACTTATAAATGCATGCAAGTCACTTTTAATAACCCCTCTTTTTTATTTGAATCTCTAAGTACCTGTCAAAATTTTAAAGTTGGTAATCCAAGATATTTGAAATAGGATAGATGTCCTGTTGAAAGGACAAATTAATAGTGTAAATCTTCTCTCCTTTTTGTACCTACTATCTGCCTTTGTTGTTTTTTTGCTTTTATTTCATTCTTTATCAAATTTACTTTGCACAGTAGTGTTTGCAAATCTTATACATCTTAACTTTGACAGAAGACTGCTGACTAACCCATGTTAATTTGTGGTCTTGTAACTGTCTTCTCTGCCTTCAAGGATTTGCCTTTTTCCCCCTCAGTGACCACTGTGCTCTCTAGGGTTCGGCCAGTATATTCCTATGAACAGTCTCCCTACTTTCTTTATTGAAGAGCTCCTTGCCTAGGGTCTTGACTCCAGGACAAGCCAGAAAGTCAGTGCTATTGAGGTGTCAGTCTTTGGTTTCATCTGCTGAACCCCAGCTTTAAGGATGAGGTCATGTGTTAGTGAGCCTCCATCCTATGGGAGAGACTTTGGAGAGGCACTCTTGTCTCCATTAGTCAATAAGAGGTGCCTTTAGACCCTGGATGTTATCATCTCATTTGGTCAAACCTGTGATGCACAGTTTCACAAAACTGCTAACTTGGGTCTGATATAGTTGTGATTAAGCCTGTGCACAAAAACATTACCTGATCTTAAGGTTTGGTATTCTAAGCCAAGTTAACAGATTGTGCATCCATCTTAATGGATGTCTTAGGAGTTTGCTATTCTTTCTTTACAGACAGCTCTAGACATCTTTTGGGAGACTCTGCATTCCAGCATTCGTGCTGTTGTTCACTCTGTGAAGGTTGTACATAGTTGCTGTAGCATAGCCTGTGAAACTGGGCTAGCTGCCTCTCTGGTTTTGTTGTTTCATCAGCCCTGTCTTTGTATGTGAGTAACCCATCTTAAACATCCTTCCCTGCTTTAGAAACTGACTTGGGAAAAGCTTGGTCATTCAAGCCACCAATAAATTTAGATGGATGTCCCTAAGTATTGTTTTTATTCAGTTAAGGGTTCTCTTTTCCTTGGACATTTGGTTTAATTCTGAGACCAAAATGCTAAAAAGTTATGTTCAAAGACAATAGTCAAATCTGTTTATTCAGTTGTCACTTAGTACATCAGTCACTTCTCCAGGTTTCCCTAAATTAGCTTGATAGAGTGAGACAAACATCTGTCTTTGGAACCACAGCATAGCTAAAATTAATCGTAGCTGGAATAACCAGCACTGCAGCTGTCTAGTTTCCCATAGATAACCCAAGTTGTAAAGGGACAGTGTTTTGCTTAGGCAAAAACCTAGGACTCATGTTCCTGCCTTCCTGGTGCAAAAGGGTTTAAGTCTGAATGTATAATGGGTGCATCACCTTTGCCAAATCATATGAGTGACAGGTTAACTATAAAATGTGACAATCACATTTCCTCTTTGCTCAAATCTGTTTTTCCAAAGCTTTAGCAGCTTAATTAAATCTGTTGGACTGGAGGAGGAGAGAACTGTTCTCTAGCGGTTAACATGATATTCTTTAAGGAGAAAAAAAACAAAGCCAAAGAAGACTCGTTATCAGGCATGCCCACCTTAAAGATGGTAGTGGGTAAAATCTGGAGTTTCAGTATGTTTTTAAAGATGCATATCTCATATTTGGTGTTGGTCTCTAAGTCCAGTATTTTATGTGGAATTCTTACTGTATTTTATGTTACGTACATTTAACTGCCTACCTAGCTTTCTTCATCCATGATGACATTCTCATCACAGGGGTATTGATAAAGCAGAGTAAAAATGTGCTGTTTATATAGTTTACTTATAAGAGCCGGAAATAACCTGTAGTTTTGCATCTAACGCAGGTCCTGCTTTACTTGAGTTTTTGTCAGGATCAGTTATGAAACAAGTTTGGTGCCTCCTCTTTATCATGTTTTTTCCCTTGTAGCAGTTGTGTTTAATGTCATTAAAAAGAAATAAAAGTTCTTGTCAGTGGCATATGTACTGTGATCGTCTGTTTTACAGGCTTTGAAGGAGGGTTCCTTCCTCCTTTGCGTAGGTAGGTTAGTGGGGTATGGGAGGTGGTGGCAGTTAGTAGAATGTGGTACTGGGGAGGCGAGGGTGCATGCTCCCTATTCTTTTGAGGGTAAATTACAGTGTTGAAAAAGGCGTTCCAGCAGTTAAGAAATGTTGAAATTGATTGGGATTTGCAGCTACATATAGTGCATGTCAGGAGACTGACACAGGGAGAGCCTGAAATATCACTGCGCTGCTGTTTTTGCAGAGGGGGAAGATGGCTCAGCCTGGTCAGACAGGCATTGCCTTGCACTCCTTCCCATTTGTGTGGTTGACCTCTGTGTCTGCCTCTCCAGAGTTAGCCCTGAGTAAGGTAGAAGGTGAGCCATCCTGGGACATTCTCCCTTTGAAAGGGATGTGAAATCAGAATTGATAGTACAAAATTGATGCTTGCTCTTCTCCAGAAATTGACTTCTCCTAGAATCTGGGGTGATGTTTGGATAAGTCTGGGTAGATGTGGGAGACAGTGTTCCTCAGGTCCCTTCTGTGAACCTAAGCTTCTTAGACTTCCCCCCAGGACCAAGGATGAAAGGGAAGGCAGTAATAGCTCGGCCCCTGTGTTAGCCAGTGCTTTTTAAAACTCAGCTCCTGCTGAGAAAATAAGTGGCAGCATGTTTGGACAGGCTTTCTGTGCTGCTGTTCTATAAAGTTTGTCTAGCATATATTTTACAGTCCAAGCAAAAGGTTCGGTGTACATTTGCTAAATATGCAGCTATTTGATATTCTTGTCTGAATCCGAGGTGCGTCCGACCTGTACATACCTGTTTTGCTCCTGTCAGGTGGATGATCCTTTGTCCAGTAATTGCTCATTTTCTTTTCAGCAATGTGTGACTATAAGCAAAGGTTCCAGAAGCCAGGCTGAATTCTCTGGAATGGTGGTGTCCCTTCCCCTTAGTTTGTTTCATGTTATGGAAAAGTGAGGAGATTTCTGTAATCATTCTTTAAAACATTCTCCTGTTTTGAGCTTTTACAAGGAAGAAAAAACCTCGGGCACCTAAAACTAGAAAGCTGAGTTCCTTGCTCTTCTGAGTGTTGTCCTGCTTTTCTGAGAGAAAACAATTGCTCCTAGGCTGATTCTAAGGTGCACTCGCTTTGTATGCCAAAGCACCTGTCCGGAAAAAATTCCCACTTGTCACAGGAAGTATCAGCTGGTCAGTGGTGGAATTCCTTAATGAACAAGCTCCTGCCTTGTCAATCCTCCCCACCTGTCCTCCCCCTATGACAACTGGAACAAGCCGTAGACAGAAAATCTGACCCTCCCTAGTGCCCATTAAGAAGGGGGTGGAATGTGATCATTTGGACAATCTTCAAAGCAGTCCATGTGATAGTCCTGAAATGTACCATTAAGGACCTATTTGTATACAAAGATCTTCAATTTAGCTTCAAGTAACATTCCACGGTTTAGAAATAGTGAACTGATGGAGCTTGCTGGGGTTGGAGTGAGGGCAGGGGGTGGTATCCCATTTCTGTAAACAATTTGTTCTTGGAGGCTACTTCTTAAAAGCAAAATCTAAAAACTGACAAATAGGTTTAAAGAAGGTGAGAAATAAAGTAGAGATCTGAAATATCACGTGATGGTTGGTGAGATGTTACATGTTTCTGTAAAGGGTTGAATTAGAGATCTTAAAAGTGGATTCTGGAGGAGGCTTATACTGAAAAGCTAGTGGTTGAGGGGACAGGGAGAAAAGGGCTCCTGCTCCCATGGAAACACCCCACAGCCCTTCCCCAAACCTTGAGGTTTCCCTCTTGTTCCTGTGAGGAAGCCCCTTGGCTCTCAGTCTAGGTGGTAGGTGGGGTCTGGGAATCCTCTGTTCTTATCCCTTTGTTTTTGACAGATGAGGAAACCAAGGCCCCCCCTTCCCCACCCTACACCCAAGTAACTGGCCTGAGGTAGGGTCTCCTGCCTCTCAGTCCTGCATTCCTCCCACAGGCTTACTGTGCTCTGCCAGTCACGTCTCAGTCTCAAGAACTTGCCTGGGCCCCTCCCAAGCTGTGAGGAATCCAAGGATCCAAGTGAGCAGTGAAGAAAAGACCACCTTGCAGGTCCTAGCTGCAAGGCTCTGTGCAACTACAGTGGATTCTGGAAAAGCTCAGTCATTAAAGAACTTGGGGGTGTAGGGAGGTAATTAAAGGCAATGGAGTTTAAGGCAGGAGTGTTGTTTCCTCTTCTCTTCATTCTCTCAGCTGATGTACTATAGACTCAGATAAGGAAGGGACAGGAAACTGCCATTAGCAGTACTTTTTGAATCCCACTGACAACCAGCTATACCTGATGCTGACTTGGGGGCTTCTCCATCATTTGGCACTGTGTGAGCACAGGGGACCTGGGAAGTGCCTCTCTGAGGTTTGGCTTTGAGTTCTGTGTGCTAATTGATTTCCCACTTTCCCACTCAACCTCTTAAGACCTGCTTTCCTTCTCAGAACCTTCCAGAACAGCCTTCTCTAAGCCCCGCTCTCCAAGCTCTTGCTGGTTCTGACCGAGATGTTCAAGGTGCCCCATTTACTGGTTTGCTCATTGGCTAATGGCCCCATTACTCTACCTTTCATCCTGCCGTTGGGATCATAATGATGTTCCTTTAGCAGCCCAGAACAGCATGCTGTGAATACTGAGCTGCAGCATGGCAGCTTGTGCAGTTCCTCTACACTTCCTCCTCAACCCTGGGAGAAACAGAACTGCATTCCTTTGGCCAGGGAAAGCACCCAACCCCATCCGAGGGGAAAACCCTTTGTTTTAAAAACTGAGCACCAGCCTGCATACCTATGTGGTGAGGCAGCCCAAGCTTGGTTTGGGGTGCGGGGGTGGGGCTCAGTAATAGGATGATGGAGCAGCTATTTTCTCCTCCTACACGTGCACCCCCATCTGTTCGCGATTTCCCTTCCAACTCCAGCTTGGCTGGCAGGCGTGTCCCTAGGAAGCTGCAGGCCAAAATGGAGAGAGAACTGACTGGCTGCCAACTGCCAGAAAAAGAGGGCAACATTTGGGCATTTACCAGAAGACAAGGATGTGCCTTTTCATTTGTCTTTTTATTTTACATTTAAAAAGTGGTTATTGCTCTAACTGGATCAGAGGTAAGGACCTCTCTCCCCTAAGGAGCCTTGGCCTTGCAGCCCCATTCAGCAGGGATGGAAGTCACAAGACAATGAGTGAAGCCTCATGCCTTCCCATGAGGAAGCCCTTAGTATTGCTGACATCTGCCTTTTACCCGTCTCTCCTCCCTCCATGTTCCACACTCAGGCAAAGCAGAGTGGTGGCTGACCCAGCCATGAGAGCTCTTGTAGACCGGAAGGAAGGGGTGGTCACGGGGTGATGGCTTTCAGCTCTCTGGCTTGGGGCTATTGCTCTTATTCAGTTCCACATGTATTCACTGAGCATCTACTATATGCCAGGCTTGTGCTAGGTGCAGTCCTCCACGCTCCTGTCCTTAGCCACCACTGGAAAACGCAGAAGCCCATCTCTTCCATGCAGGCATTCATCAGCCACAACTTGTCAGTCCTAGGGAAGGATCTTCCTTCCCTTATCAAGCACCATTTTTTTTTTTTTTTTTACCAGAAGGGCAGTGGAGAGAGAGACCTGTCACCTCACACCACACAGGCTCTAGGGAAGGACATGAGGACCCTTGGTAGCTTTCACAGAACCCTGGATGAGATGGCAATAATATATGGAGACCCCAGTGGCCAGGACCGCTCTGGCTGAATGGCTCAGGCCTGCCTTCCAGCAGCTTCCACTACAGCGTGGTGATTTAGCAGCCCCTCAGGATGTCCCATGGGAACGTACCTTTCAGTTGTCCAAGACAGTACTGTTACAGCTCTAAGAGACTTTTCCTAAAGAAATAGGGCCAGTACCTTCCAGGTGTTCTAATTTTCTTAAAACCCCAGACTGATGGTCTTACAGTCAAAATAAGGGCCAAAGAGAGGATGCAGGCAACCAGCTCAGGGAATCCCTCTGCCCTCTGGAGTGAAGCCCTTCCATTGTGTTTTCCAAGAGACAAAACAGGTAACATCTCACACACACACAAAGTTGTACATCACATCACAAACAAGTCCTTGATGGCTGGATCCAGAAAAGGCTCCATGGCAGCCATGCCCCTGCCCCACAGGCTGCCCCATGGCTTCCCTGATGGTTCTTGTTCTGAAAGAGCTTAAGTCAGTCTAAGTGCTTATCTCCCAGAAGCTTTGTGCATTTTCTCAGAGAGGACGCCTGTCCAGGAGGCAGAAAGAAGGCCGTGTCTCATGCAGCTTTGCCTTTTCCAGAATGGGGCCAGGCCTCAAGTTTTGTGGCTTGTTTATTTTTTGCAGAATTTGGGTTTGTAGTTCAGCTTCCTTCACCAGACTAGGACATCGGGGAGAGAGAGAACTGTGTAGCTAGCCGTGCCTCCCCCTCCACCGCAGTCCTCCCTCTCCCTGTGTCTGTGGACCTGGGGACCAGCAGAGAAAAATGAAATCCTTCTCGCTGCAGACAGGTAGTCACGCTTCGATGATGTTCACCGAGAGCTTGTTTGGAAACTGGGAGGAAAAAATGAGAGAAGCGGCCAGGGCTAATCGAATAGACTTCTTGCAAAGTTGAAAACAGAGGACACAAGAAGGAAGGGAGCAGCAGGGCTGCAGCCTAAAAGCGAGGCTCTTGTCCTGTGTGGAAGGAAAGGAGTAGCCCTGCCTGAATGTCTTGTCTCTGCCTTCTCAAACCCAGCCTTCAGCCTCACTCAGCTGAACGGTCAGTCTGGGCCTGGACCCACCACTCGTGGTACCCAGTCCACCCCCAGCACAGCCATCCTGCTGGCTGGTTCTCACATCCTGCAGATCTGCCTCTCAGCGCAGCCTCAGCCACTGACATTGTTGAGGTGCCTCTGGAGATGGGGATTAATAGGCTTCAGGAAAATGCGCCGGAAAGAGTGAAGCCAAGAGAGAGGACAGTAAGCCAGAGGGTGTAAGAAGATGGAGGGAGGAGGAAATGTAGAGAGGGCCAGATGTTTGTTGGATAATCATCGTCAGAACCATGAGATCCTCTCACATTCTCCACTGTCTGTCTTCTGAGCTGCTCAGAGCCAGCACTGAAAAGGTCTCATATCTGTTTTACACAAGAGGAAACGAAGGTACGAGGTGAAGCCCCTGCCCCGCGCCACACAGCACAGCGGGAGCAGAAATGAGCTCAGAAGCCCCTTTCTCGTCCCACACCAACCAAGAGCTCTGCCCTCTCCATTCGCTGTCCCCCCCTTTTTTAACCCTCACTGGCCCCTGGCACCCTGCAAACGGAGAGAATCCAAAATCAATTTGCAATGTCCCCTGGGTCACACAGGCAGCAGCCAAGCTTGGCTCTGCCCAGCTGTAGCTATGCCAGACCCTGAGCTGACCCCTTCTGCAGTCCAGGGACTCCCAGTGCACGAGCCACGGGGCCACCCACCCAAGTCCAGGTCCAGCCCTCACCTTGCTGCGGAGAAGACCTCCGCCTTGGTGCTCTGGTGTGCTGGTTTCTGACGCACTCTTGGTTTTTTCCTTGTTGTTATTGGGTTCATTGTCCTTGATAATGTCATACTGGCGGCAGAAGAGGACAATGACGCCTGAGGGGACAAGGGAGAACAGTCAGAGTCCTTGCCGGCCTGCTTCCTTCCCATGAGCACTTGCTAGGCTCCTGTTAGGTTCTGAGCTCCAGATGGTCTCTCACCTGCACTACTGCAACAGCCTGCCTCTGGCCTCTGGCTCCCGTGTCCACCTGCCCCCTGACCAACCATCCCCTTCACTGCTGCTGGGCTGGTCTTCCTACAACATGGGGACCTTTGATCATGTCCCCTCCCTTCCCTTTTTTTAAACATCTGAATCCTCCCCTTTGCCTTTAGGGGAAAATAGAAACAAAAGTGTTTGTTGAGCATGTGCGCACCTCTGCGCTGTGCACTGACATTCTAGTTCACTTACTCCTCACGGCACTGTGAGGGTCCCTAGTATCATCCCCAGGTTAGGATCAAGGACACTGATGCAGAACTTAGATAACTCACTCAAGGTCGCTCAGGAGTGAGCTGGGATGTGCACCCCAGGGCCTGCACTCTGCTATTGCTGTTATCAAACTAATAATATATGAGCATAATAAGCTTTTTTGAAAGTTGAATAGTATTAAGGCAGCCAACTCCAATTCTTATGTTTTCCCCATTTTTTCTTCTATATTTGATTTATAGTGTTTATTTCTTGACCTGTGTGTTTTAGGTATCATCTGTTGACTCCCCACCATGGTAGTGTCAGCAGTGGTCAGGGTGGCCTCTGGCCAGAGACAGTACTTTGCGTCCTCAGTTCTTGTCTTCTTGTAGGAACGAATTCAAACAAGTGACAACAAATAGCAGCAAAAGCAGGCAAGAATTTATTTGCAGAAAAGGAATACACTCAGGTATAGTCTGAGTGGGCAACTCAGCCAGCTGAAATGAAACCCATTGGGGCTTGGGGTATTTATACCCTTAAGCCAGAGTGCCCCTCAGTAAGTCTCCCCCTCCCTTATTTCTCAAAAAAATATCTTTAAGCCATAAGGCTCCCAGTCAGACCACATCCCAGAGGGGCTCTAGATCTTCTCTCCTCACATAGGGGTCTGTTGCCTTCATTGTCTAATTTTGGTTTCTCCTGTCTCCAAGCCCTAACTGCCTTTCTCAGCTCTTATCTTTCTAGCTGCCTACTCTAACAGTCGATAAAGCCTAACAACTCCTCCTACTTCCTTCCCCATCATCCTAACAGAATTACATGACAATTTCAGGTTCATTCACTAGGTTTATATTGTTATGATTATGTAAATACTATCTGTGCCAAGTCTAATAAGGCACCGTAAGCAAACCTCCTCTTTTGTATAATCCTTTGTTTTTCCTGCTTTTTTTCCCAAGTGCCTGTTTTTCTATGTGCCTACAGAACATTTTTTCCCTAATTCTTCTGAGGGCCTGCCCCTCACCCACCATACTAATACAGCTTTGGCATGTTCACGTTCCTCAATCCAGACTCCAGTCCACTTTACAGCCTCACCATCCTCTACCCCTCCACTTTCTGCCTTCTTTCTTGGGTCACAGCTGCACTGAGATGGACTGAGCTTAATCTGTTCCTTGAACACACTGCCCCGAACACCCTTCCTTCCTTTTTTTGGCTTCCTGGTGAATTCCTATTCACCCTTCAAAGCTCAAATGTTACCGCTCTGTGTTTTTCCTGTTTTCTACTCCTAGCCCCAGAATTAATTCCCTCTCCTCTGCTCCCATACATAGTACTATTATAGCACTCATGTCATTGAATTAGAGTTAAGTAAAGGCCTGGCTTCTCCCAGGCTGAGCTGCTTGCAAGCACAAGGATCTTCTTAGTCATAGCTATAGCACTACCTGGAATGCACTATCTGGAATGTAGCACTATATGGAATGAAGTGGCTGTTCAGAAAATGCGGATTGAGTATGAAAATGAAATTTTATCTTTATCCTCAGGGAGGATAAGTGGGAAAAGAGAGAGATATAAGCCCAATTAACTTATCTAAGAAGGGCTGAAGAGAGGGGCAAACTGTGCTGTGGAGGCGTGGAGGCAGGAGTGACGTTCTAGTGAAGGGGCTGCGGAGGTTTTATGGAGGCGGCCTCAGAGCCGGGCCAGAAGGACGAGCAGGTGAAGAGCATGTCCCAAGCCTGAGCCACCCAGGCCTAACAGCACCTGGCAGCACAGGAACCCAAAGAGGGGGGAGAGCCTGCTGTGCCATGGCCAGAAGGCAAAGAGGCTGTGATATGTCAACACCGGCACTCTGAGGGAGGGGAAGAGAAAATACTCCCATAGCCCCACAAGGCAGCTCTCTGTATGCTATTTTTTTTGGTGAGGGCTGAGTTAGAGAAGGGATCAGATCTGGTCCCGAGAGCTGTACCAGGCAGGACTTAGAAACNATTGTCTAATTTTGGTTTCTCCTGTCTCCAAGCCCTAACTGCCTTTCTCAGCTCTTATCTTTCTAGCTGCCTACTCTAACAGTCGATAAAGCCTAACAACTCCTCCTACTTCCTTCCCCATCATCCTAACAGAATTACATGACAATTTCAGGTTCATTCACTAGGTTTATATTGTTATGATTATGTAAATACTATCTGTGCCAAGTCTAATAAGGCACCGTAAGCAAACCTCCTCTTTTGTATAATCCTTTGTTTTTCCTGCTTTTTTTCCCAAGTGCCTGTTTTTCTATGTGCCTACAGAACATTTTTTCCCTAATTCTTCTGAGGGCCTGCCCCTCACCCACCATACTAATACAGCTTTGGCATGTTCACGTTCCTCAATCCAGACTCCAGTCCACTTTACAGCCTCACCATCCTCTACCCCTCCACTTTCTGCCTTCTTTCTTGGGTCACAGCTGCACTGAGATGGACTGAGCTTAATCTGTTCCTTGAACACACTGCCCCGAACACCCTTCCTTCCTTTTTTTGGCTTCCTGGTGAATTCCTATTCACCCTTCAAAGCTCAAATGTTACCGCTCTGTGTTTTTCCTGTTTTCTACTCCTAGCCCCAGAATTAATTCCCTCTCCTCTGCTCCCATACATAGTACTATTATAGCACTCATGTCATTGAATTAGAGTTAAGTAAAGGCCTGGCTTCTCCCAGGCTGAGCTGCTTGCAAGCACAAGGATCTTCTTAGTCATAGCTATAGCACTACCTGGAATGCACTATCTGGAATGTAGCACTATATGGAATGAAGTGGCTGTTCAGAAAATGCGGATTGAGTATGAAAATGAAATTTTATCTTTATCCTCAGGGAGGATAAGTGGGAAAAGAGAGAGATATAAGCCCAATTAACTTATCTAAGAAGGGCTGAAGAGAGGGGCAAACTGTGCTGTGGAGGCGTGGAGGCAGGAGTGACGTTCTAGTGAAGGGGCTGCGGAGGTTTTATGGAGGCGGCCTCAGAGCCGGGCCAGAAGGACGAGCAGGTGAAGAGCATGTCCCAAGCCTGAGCCACCCAGGCCTAACAGCACCTGGCAGCACAGGAACCCAAAGAGGGGGGAGAGCCTGCTGTGCCATGGCCAGAAGGCAAAGAGGCTGTGATATGTCAACACCGGCACTCTGAGGGAGGGGAAGAGAAAATACTCCCATAGCCCCACAAGGCAGCTCTCTGTATGCTATTTTTTTTGGTGAGGGCTGAGTTAGAGAAGGGATCAGATCTGGTCCCGAGAGCTGTACCAGGCAGGACTTAGAAACTTCTGACCTCTTAGCGATCTCTAAGCCCCTCACCCTTCGTTTCTGGGAGAGAAGGGGTCTGGTCAGGGTCCCCCGCTTCCCAGAGGTTAAATGAAGGGCTAGGAGGCCAGACTCACCGGCCCACATGAACAGGACCACGACGATGATCAGCACCTCGCCTGTCTGCAGCTGCTGGTTTCGCCCCATCTCCTTCATGGTCACCTCGTCTGTGGTCGGAGGGGAGAGAGGCACTAGGTCTGGGCTCCTTTCCTCCCCCAGCTGCTCCTCTGCAGCCAAGTCCAAGATAGTAAGTGTTTGTTTCTATGGGTTTCCACACATCTAACAAAAAGAGGTTCTAGAACGTGCTGATGGCTACTTGGGGTGGCAGCAATAAGGGAATCCAAAATTTAGTGTTTACATACGCGTTGTATTGACCTCTCAGGTACTGCTTTACTAGGCGGTGGGGGGGAAGGAGGGGGAGTTAGTGCTTTCCTCAACCTCCTGCTGCTCTGGCGCTGACCAGCCCTCACCCCACCCCGTCCCTTCCTCACAGTGACCAGGCCTTGCCTTTGTTCTTGGAGCCCATCTTCTCGGCCTCTCTCGGCGTCTTGAAGAGCACCGGCTCGCTCGCAGGACTCTGGCCCTGAATGGAGATGGCCTGCACGTGCACGATGTATTCCGTGTCTTCCTCCAGGTCCCAGAGGGCGCAGGAGCGGGTGGTGGTGTTTACCTCCTGGATGAAGCGCAGCATCCGCACGTCCTTCTTCTGCCAAGGCAAGAGCCAGCCCGCGTTTCCAGGGCCCGGTCACCACCCCGCTCCGCCACCTCTCCAGGGGTGATAATGGGCTCACCTGGCTACCACCTAAGCCCTTTGCACATATAATCTTACTTATGCATCCCACCATCTCTGCAGATATCACTATCTCCATTTTACAGATGAGGAGACAGGGCAGAGGGGTTAGGGAAGTCGCCCAGAGCCATACACTTCGTGAGAACTGGAGCCAGGTCCAAATCTCAGGTCTGTTTAAAATCAAAACCACACTCGTAATTCCCAGGTCCCAAACAAAGGCTCCAGAGCCCTCCCTCACTGACCAGTCCCCTCAGGGACCCCCTTTCAAGCCATATGTGCAACTTTCTGCCTGTCTGTCTTGCTCCTCAGTCCTTCCCCCCCTTCCCCCCCACCGCTACTACCTTTAAGTGCTCTTCCCTCCCGCAGGGTTACCTGCTGAGAGATGGCGAATCCGATGACCACCTCATCCTCCAGGACATCCCAGCTCACCACCGCGGAGTTGGCCTTGAGGTGCCTGACAGTGACATTCACTGGGGCGGAGGGGCTGTCTGGGGGTGGGGAGGCACCAGAGCCTGAGCACCCCCTGCTGTGAGGCCCAGGTCCACTGTCTCATGAGTGGAAACCTGGGAAAGGCCATGAGGTGGGGGAAGGAAGAAACCAGGGCCTCCATGGAGCTGGCATACATGGAGCTCAGTTCCTTAGTAGGTTGCAGGGCCAGACAGAGAGTCCCCAGGCTCCTTGTGTCCAGGGTGGGAGCCCCAGATGGCCACACCAGGGGTGCAAACTAAAACTGAGCCAAGGCCAGATCTAATGTAGGGGTGTTAAAAGGTGAGGGGACAGGCATGGGGGGAGACATAGGTGGCCAGGGTTCAGAAGCTGAAGGTTAAGTCTGATAAAAAGTAGTCAAAAGGAATCCCAGTCCAACGCTCTTTCTACAGTACTGCACTGTCAAGTGAGTGACCTTGAGGGAAGGGGAAAGCCCTAGAGGTAGAGAAGAGCCACACTGGGGTGGGCCCCGGGATGCGAGTCAGGACCAAGGGAGGAACCCTCAGCATTGGGGTGACCAGGCAGAAAGAAACCTGAGGAAGGGCCTCTGTGAGCTCTAAGGGGCAAGGGGGGAGGTGGGAGGGGAAGACGGGGTGGCTCAGAGCAGGCCCCTCAGCTGGGAACCAAGGGTACACAGTAGGGCCTCCTGGATGTGGGAAGAGAGTAGGAGGAAGTGATGGGGGCAGTGGGAGTCAGGGAAGGAAGAAGCTCTAGGAGAGGGGCAGTGGAGTCACACAGCCTCTGTATCTCACAAGGGGCAAGTGCCAACAGGGGGAGACCTGGGCCTGAGCCACACCCCTCACCCCACAGATGAGTGGACCGGAAGCCCAAGGGGAGACAAAGCCAGACATGGACCCGGAAAGAGACAGAGGGACACAGACAGGTGGTGGCAGAGACGGATCCAGAAAACAGATAAATGGGGTATCAGAGGCAGACACAGAGATGGGGGCAGTGAGAGAGACAGTAGTGAGCCATGGAGAGACGGACAGAAGGAGAGATGAAGGGAGGCAACAGCAGCCAAAGGGGAGGCTGGGCGAGGATGAGGCCAGGCCCCACGGGACAGGCCAGGCACTGACTGCACCAGACTCAGGGGCCACCTTCGCCCACCCGGTGCCGTGGGTGCCAGTCCCTAACCTCACACACGCTCACGCACACTGGGACCCCATTGGGACCCCATCCTGCTCTGACCTGCAGAGTTGGCCTGCAGGGCTTTTGGGGACAGGGAGGGAGGCCCAAGGTGGGGACTGGTGTCCTCAGCTGCTCCCCCGGCCAGAGAAGGGAGCTAAGGTACCTGAGGCAAAGGCCTGGGCTCAGGGCAATGGTACGAGGGGCCTGGGGATCACAAGACCCTAGACCCCTGGGCTGGGGTGGCCAGAAGGGATTTGGGGGCTGGAGGAAGGAGCTGGAGGTCAAGAAGGCAGGGAAGAGGCTGGGGCTGGCCAGAGACGGGCTCCCAGGGAGACAGGGAGGGAACTGAGGGCCCCCGCCCCCCGGCCCGCCCGGGCCCCCT